CTGAAGTTACAGATTCAATTCCTACACAAGTGCTGGAAGTGCCAAGTAAAGGTGATGGTGATAGAGGTAGTAAATGTGTGGGAAGAAAATTGTCCTATGCTTTCAGAAGGAAATTAAACTTAAGGACCATGTTACCACCATTTTTCTAGCATGGAGATGTGAAATATACATGCACAGTGGCTCTTCCTTACACATCATAAATGTGCTTTTTTTTTTGTAAGTGCTCTCTATCTGTTTCACTGCTGTCCCAGATGGTTTCTGGCTTGAAATGTAGACATCAGCCGTTAATGGGAAGTGCTGGAATCCTTTTCATGGTCGCAAGTACACTTCCCCAGATGTGTTCTGGTTAATGGCTTCTTTCTGTCCTTTGGAATCTTTATGGGAGCCATGCCTTTGAGATCTGCCACTGAGACATAGGGAAGTGAGGGGTCGTTCTTGCTGTGAGACACAGGAATGCAGTCTAGTGCTTTGTGTTACTAAAATCTTCAGTTTTTTTTTATGCCAGTGGCCCTGTAAGGAGACAACACCCTCTTCCTCTTTAAATGTCCTCTTTGTACAGCATTCTCCACTATTCATATTGGGTGTAAATGACTGAACTGAAGGACAAGAAGTTTTGCAGTTGAGTGCCTTGTTGATGTGCGTTGATGTCACTCTTGGCCACCGCCCTGCCATGTGTTCAGTTCATCGTCAGCTACCGTACAGTGTGGCTCAGTGGTACCTTTGGTATAAGTGATAAGAGTTTGGTTATCCTCATCTAAGAAGACATTTAGACACAGTCACAGCAGAAATACTGTCAGAATTCAACAGCTTTTGTGGATCTGATATAATAAATGCTGTACTGTTCGAGAAACACCGCTAAATTTGTGTGTATCTGTAATGTATGTCATTCGATCATGGAAGTATGTCCCTCTTGCAGACTTCAAATGTACTGTATATGTATTTAGAAAAGCCAAAACAAAGCCCTTTCTGACTGTACCTTGCTGTTGGTACAGTACCTGCAAGGCTGGCGTTTGAGTCATTGAGCCAGATCAGATGCACGAAGACCTTCTGGGCTCCACGTTGTCAACCTAAAGTTTCCAAATGACACTCAGCAGCACTAGTGGACTTTCGGGATTTTTTCCTTTAGACTGTGCCATTTATGTCCCTTTAGAATGGCCTTTGTATTACAAAGTGATTGTGGACTTGTATTAGAACAAGCCCATATTCCCTGCAAAGCTGCACGTGTGTGCTGGCAGATGAAACATCAGAGAGGAGGCGAGGGGATGTGGCAGTTCAAGTCAAAGTCTGGTTTATATTAGTAAGAAGCTGTTACCAAGTCTTTATGTAACATTTTAAATACACACTTATGATAAGCTGTGAACAAGACCTTATTGATCTTCCTCAAATACCAATATGGTCTTATTGTACACATGGGAAATTTTCTGTGAACATAAGAGCTGGGATGATTCTGAACTTATGTGATTACAAGGTACGTACAGTTAATTGATCTTTTGCCAGGGTGTTTTACTTGATGTTCAAAGAACTTTTAAATGTGAAACGTGCAGTTTGTGTTAGGTTATTGTGTGCTCTGTGTCAAAACACAAAAGTAAATTATCGGTGTTCATCACAAAATTGTCAGAAATGCAAAGTCTTGGCTACTATGTGGTGAAAAATTAGGTACAACCTCTTAAGACTTTATAGTTCAACATATTTAGACATATTGACCTATACCTACTTAAGTCACCAAGTCCTAACAGTAGGTAAAACAAACAACACAAAAAGTCAACCTTTTCATTTATTGCAAAGAAAAATTAGCCAGCTTTCAGTATCTTTGTGTGAAAACTAAGTACACTTTTCATAACAGCAGAATACTGTCCATATATTAGTCATTTACCAACATCAGAAGTTTGCCATTCATTTGAAAGACAGAACAGCAGAAAGAGTACATTCAAAATCAGTAGCTAAACTGCATTGATGAGACCTGCTTTGCCTTTCCTCACCTCAGGCTAGAACAAGGCTTCCCAACCAAGATGCATTGGGCCCCAGATTCTGTTGGGTTTTGTTCAAGCTGAGTTCTTGGTTATTTTCTTTTAATCTTTGGATTTATGGAGCAGACAACTTTGCATTATTCTCAGCTCTACGTGTGCAAGAGATTTAAAATACATCATATTAATCATATTAAATGCACATCACAATGAGACGGCGACTTTTTAGAGAGCAGAAGCAAACAGAAAAGGTCTACTTAGTCCCTTCATTAGCTTATCGTAGAGCTCAAATAAGCAACAGAGAGTCCAGCTGCAATGAACACTAGCAGACACTGGGGCCACAATCTAGGGTAAGGAAGTCCTGTGCTAGACGTTGTAATTCGAAAGAAAGGGAAGGCTTTGATTTCTGAGACAGACCCGCTCTCACCCAGCTAACAGGCTTGGGAGAGAGGAATTGTGGCTGCTTTGATTAAACAACAAACAGAAGTTTCCTGAGCAAAAATCTGACCATAAAAAACAGGTTAGTTGCACTGCTGTAATTGACCTGATTTTTCACTAGCAAAAACATCAGTTTTGGAGGTTTTCTAGAAATGATCTATTTTGTATTTCTTAGCTCATATTTGCGTTCATTGGATGTCGAGATGTCAGTTCTGACCATGGTTTTTACAGGAATTAATTAAGCACATATGAAACCGAACCTTTACTAAAACACAAACACCACACGCGGAAGTTCTCTTTTAGGAGAACAAGCTCCTCAAATGGACGCTGTTTCACTGTTGTTTTCTGGACAACAACTGTCTTTTAAATATGCTTAGCTCTCGAAAAGCAGGATGTAAAACTGTTTTTTTGTGCCAATAAACACGAAAGAGTTAATGAGCTCTGAGATGCATTAAAAGGTGCACATTCGGAGTGCAGAGAGATGTCTGCAGCCCAGACATCAGCGCTTCTAACCTGTTCTTTGTCAGCAGGGTTCTCCAAGTAGTGAACCGCATTGTCTGAGCACAGCAATCAGCTTGAGGACCCCTGCTGTCTGCTGGGGAGCATTAGCAGCAGTAACAGCTGGGGGTGCTTTAGGGCTTGCAGTGGGAATAAGAAGTGGATAGAGCCTGAGCTTTTTTTTGCAATTGATGTTTACAGGTTGGCCTGTAGAAAGACCATCCAGTTAACCATGTTCTAACCATTTTTATCCAATACAGGGTTACGGGGGGGACTTCACAGGGGAGCTAATCGGCAGACACAAGGCCGAATACACCCAGCATGGGATGCCAGCTCAGCGTAGGGCATGCACACAAACACTCACGCACTCAGACCAGGGCCAGTTTTCCTACATGCCAATTAACCTACATATATGATTTCGGATTGTGGGGAAAAAAACCCACGCGGGCACTGGGGGAACATACAAACTCCCAGAAATAGCTCGTACCCCAAGAACTGGAGCCCAGAGCCCCAGTGCTGCGAGGCAGCAGTGCTACCCACTGTATCACTGCGTCTCCTTATAGAAAGACTAGTGATTAGCCTGACAGATTTGAAAAAAAAAAAGATTATCATGTAGTCAGCTTCTCCAAAGCAGCTGAGAGAATAATGGTTTATAATTATAATAATAATTACTTACACTTATATAGCGCTTTTCTGGACACTCCACTCAAAGCGCTTTACAGGTAATGGGGATTCCCTCCACCACCACCAAGTTATGCCTTGAACTTGACAGAGTCTATATAAGCGGAATTGTTAGGAAACTGGCAAAGTCCATAATCATTCTGAGTGAAAATAGCTCCCATGTTTTTAATTTAATGATAAGATGTGAAATGTCAGTACAGAGAGAGAATCCTCAACCACAATGCCTTTGGCTTCACCTTTTCATTGATTTACCTCGGGAAATGCTGTTGATGTTTTAAGAAGATTGCGAAAGGGATATACAGGGACAGGATATACTCTTCTTAATGGCAAACAGTCTCATTGAGTAATGTAAGGAATTCCCTGTTGGAAGCTTTAGGTACTGTGCAGAGTCCTCCCCCTTGTTAAATGTGTCATGGGCATTTAAAGGAATAGGATTACGTTTCCACTCGACCGACTGTGCTGGAGCTGTACCTGGCAAATATGTGCTAGAGCAAGAGGTAAAGTTCGGGAAGAGAAATGGAGGCTTTAACTTTCCAATGAATGATCAGAGGACTCAGTATTTGAAATTTTCACCAGTTACGTGGAAAACGATTAACTTGATGATTTGTCTTGGTGATTTATTGCTAATACACACAGTTTGTTACCATGTAGTTTAATTAGTGTGCTTCCATGTCTGAATCAGTGATGCATATCAGAATATGCATCACTGAATGAATATTAGACCATCTGGCACAACATGCGGTTTATGTGGCACTGGGTTTCAGGTCTTCAGTGACTTCAATGACCAGTTTCTCCTTGCTTTTTATAGCCCTGAAGGCTAATTGGCGATTGCTTCTCATTGATGTGTGGAGATGGTAGAGCAGGTGAGAGACCGAGGTTTGGTGGAGAGTGTAGGCCCTTTCATCTTCACGCTGTTGTGGTTTCTACTGAAAATGTGAACCCACTAAGATTTACTTGTGAAAGCACAGTTCTTGTAACCAGGAAATGTACTATAGCTCTTGAACACATATAGTTTTACCTTCATAAGATATAGGAAGATAAAGATGTAAAGTACTGTGACATGGAATTGTATTTCCTTTTGATGTTTTGTGTTTGGACAATAAGCTACTCTCAAGATAAAAAAAAAAGAACAGGTCTATTAGAGAGATTAGAGAAAAAAATGTTAGATACAGTAAAGACCTCTAAGGGAGGGCAGTTCCCACAGCAGTATAAAGATTTACTTTAGTTCAAAAGAGTATAATCAATCTTCAGGACAGGCATCTGTGAGTGAGGAGGTATAAGAATTCCCTAGTTTGCTTTTCCATTTTCACTCCCCTCAAACACTTTTGCTGGCCCTGGCTCCAGCCGGAACTCCGTGGTCAGCCGCGTTGTCTTGTCTTTTCCGTAACATTTTTAATATCGTTTTTATCTTGTTTCCAGGACGCCATCATTGTGACTGTAGCAGGAAGCTCAGTGCCTGGTCTCCTGCCTCCAGTTCTGTTAGTTGGTGGTGGAAGGACCTCAAGCTGTCAACATGGGCAGAAGCTCAACAAAAGGTAAGGAGCCAGAGGTCAGTCCTGTCCATGCAGCTCTTCTTAAAATTTTCAACATTTATTCCATTACACATCTTGTTATAGGGATCTCCCGCAGCACTTGAATAAAGAACTGATACCGTTTTACTTTTTGCCTTTACAATTTTAATGTTCTCGTGATGAATGGAAGCAAGGGGAATGGAATGTTCCGGAATTCCAGCTCCATCGGAATCGGATAGAACAGTACCAATAGTGACAAACACTTTGCCTCTTTGGGAGACATGCAAGATGAGGAGCATAGCAGAGAGAGACTTGTCTTTTCCTTCAGTCACGAAGATCAGTGGAAGGTTACTGATTCACGATCCATGAACATTGCTTGCTGTCATGCACGTCGCTGCTTTCAGGCAATTGATGTTTAGTGTTATTTTTAACTTTTGCAGCTGTCGCATCAGAAACGTAACAGTTATACTAAACAACTTGCCCGGATGAACAGTTTGACATAAAATGAAACCATTGGTGCTTTAAGGAGATGGCTTTGTTGGGGTATGTGAAGTTTTATCACTTCAGTGAAACAGTAAGCACTCAGTTTATAATTGTTGTAAAACTGCAGTTACAGCAATTATGTGGTCAAGTTAAAACTGTATAACAAGTTCACATTCTTAACTGGTCTAGAAAACAAATTCTGAAAGAATTTTTTGGGTTGAGAGCAAATCGACAGAGACTTGGTCTGAGAATAGGCAGTTTTCTAACTTAATATAAAAAATAATCCATTAGCTCTGCAGTTACAGAACTTCAGTTACTGCATTGAGTGTCGTTCTAAATGCTGTTAGCAATATTGTTACATCATGTCACCTCATGAATTGTTTCACAAACCCTAAGTACCACTTATTGCTGATTTCCTCTGTACCCACACATGGAAAGAAAGTACGCCAGACTGTCACATTGAAACTGTATAGCAAAGTTAAGGGACACTGTAAACCATGCCACTGCTGTTTTTTTTCTGACAAGCACGTCTGGTGCATTTCTTCAGTAATGACGAGAAGGATGGGAAGTTGAGGGAATGAGAATAGGGTACATTTGTACATCTACAAATACTCTTTAGGTTTTCTTTTAATCCTGTTTTCTATTCTTTGTCAGTCAACAATGGACTGGATTATATATACATTGTGTATTAGCCACGTTGTTCACAACAGAAAGAAACTTCTTTTTTATGGGACACATTTAAAAGCCAAAAATTTGATCAGTTGGTCATTTATGAGTGCGGTTGTCAACCTCTTCATCAGCACTGATTACTCATCATTTGCAAGTTGTTTTTTTGTTGCATTAGTGCACACGGAGCCAAGATCTGTGATTGTAAGAGAGCATTTGACTCAATTTGGCACGAAGGACTGTTTTATAAACCTCTTCAAAGTGGCATAGTGGGTAAAGTGTATGACATAATTAAATCAAAGTACTTGGAGAAGAAATGTACAGTGAAAAATGGAAACAAAAGGGCAGAATTCTTCCCCTGAGGTCGTGGGGTGAGACAGAACTGCAGCCTGAGCCCAACACTGTTCACTATCTATATAAATGAGTTAGCAGGAATGTTGGAATAGTCTGCAGCTCCTGGTCTCACACTACATGACACAGAGTTCAAGTTCCTGCTCTATGCAGATGACCTGGTCCTGCTGTCACCCACAGAACAGGGGCTGCAGCAGAGACTGGCACTGCTGGAGCAGTACTGTCAGACCTGGGCTCTGACAGTCAATCTGGACGAGACCAGAAGAAAGCCAGACCTTAGGGAAAGAAGTTCCACTTCACACTCGGCAACAACACATCAAGCTACACGTACCTTGGTCTGATTATCAGTTAATCGGGGGTTTTTGATCTAGCAGTGAAGGCACTCAGGGCTTTCTAGCATTAAAAGGAGGCTTTTCAACATCAGCCCACCTACAAGAATCTGACTCAACATATTTGCAAGTGTAATCCAACCCACTGCCCTATATGGCAGTGAAGTGTGGGGTCCCCTCACAGACCAGGATTACACTAATCGGGACATGCACCCCGTAGAAACTGCAGTTAGAGGACTTTTCTACAGAACTCTTAACTCCTAGCATGCAGGGCTAAATTTGGTCAATACCAATTGCTAGTAAACATATAGAAGACAGTAGTAAAGTATTGGCTACACCTAAAAAGCAACGACCAAAACTCTTACCACCACAAGACCCTGCTGAGCCAAGAGCTGAGGCCAGAAAAGATCCATCTGAGTCAGCTGGTCCTGAGGATCACTGGCCCGAGCCACACCAACACCTGCCAGCCTCTGGACAGCACTGCTAGAGCACCACATCACAGCACAGATCACAGCAATATCTCACACACTGGGACACCCACAAACAAAAAAACAACATAAACTGGAATGCTACAGATCCCTAAACAGACAATGTACACTAACCGTATATTTGACCAGGATACAGCAAAAAGAAATAGACCTGATGAAGTACAGGCTCAGTGGCCACAGCCTGGCCATAGAAACTGGGCGACACAGGCAGGTCAGGCTGTCCAGAAAGGACAGGCTGTAGTTCCACTGCCAGTGGGGAGAACTAGAGACAGAGGCGCATTTCCTACTGCACTATAACAAATATTCTGGGATCAGACAAACATTCTTCCCCAAATTTACAAATCTAATCCCAGAATTCCCACACCTGCCAGATTACAGTCAGTTGAACTGGCAGTTGATCTGATGATTTGCTGTAACAGCCCGAGGATCAGTGAGCCTGTCTCTCAATAATGCTCCATATGTTTGTAGGTGTAAATATCTTTAGATATTATGTTAATTGTATTTGTATTGCTTTGGCAACACTGGTTTACTCGTTGGTCATGCCAATAAAGCATCTTGAATTGATTTAATTGTACACTTCCGATGGTGAGGACCACCTCCACACCTGTAGGATGAGGATGTCCTACTGCTTTTTGTGGCACACATTGACTGATGTCATTGAACAGAGACTAGTATTGACTGCAGCCACTAAATCTTTGTCGCCAAGGGTTCTTCTTGTGTAACCAGGGTGCCACTCATTCACAGATCTAAGAGGTGGTGCCGAGTGACATGCAGTGTTCATTTCTGATGACAGCTTGCTGTACCTTGATCTTTGCATTACAAGGTCGTGGCTGATCAGCGTTGGTTGACTATTATTTCCTAAATAGGTGTTCCACTCAGTTACGCTCATGTCTAATAGGTACGAGTTAAGCTCTGCTAACCTAAAAAATTTACCTATTATAGCTGGCTAGTCTATTGATCAGTCTAAAGCTGGTTACTTTCAAGTTGGAATGTAAACTTCAGTTTTTATGTTTTATAATCAATCAGAATGTGAAAAATGGGAATGCTGTGCCTTTTTTCTTTTTAGATTCTCCCAGTTTCCTTTCTTGAGCATACATGTCATGGTTTTTCCCCCCTGTTATTGAAAAAAGAGATGGCACCACATTTTGACGCATATGTTTCAAAGTGCTGTGTGTTTATTGAATTATAGTGGATGTTTGATATTCAGTTATAGGTTGCTCAGTAGTCCATTTCCTCAAGCCCTCTCTAGTCCATTGATGCACGTTTAGTACTTGCAGAGTATTCCCTGTGGTGTTCTGCAACATAGTTTGCTTGCAGTCTTCATGGAACCAAAAACCTTTCGTGCTGATCAAATACTAAACAAACATTTGACTATAAATGTTGGATTTTCTGATAGCATTTTATGCTTTATCACTGTTGTTCTGATTCTTCATGTAATTATGGTTTTGTCTTTTCTTTTCAGACCAGAAAGATAGCAAAAGGGAGAAACCAGGAAAGAGCTATTCCTCCCCAAGTCCCTCACACAGCAAAGGTACCTGTGTGCTAACTATATTTTTAGAACAACAGTGTGTAAAACCAGTACCCAAGATTCCAGTTTTAATATAAAATATTATGCCCCAACATGCCCAGCCTGCTTTTGATTTTTTTAAATTTAGTTGGTCTTTGAGCGCCCTCTACTGGTAGAATTGAAAACGTGTCCACCATCACCTCGATTAAAACAAATCGCAGATTCGAATGGAATCGGACGTTGTATGGGACTTTGTTAAATAAAAATGAAATAAAAATGTTCAACACTGGCTTTTATAGTTTGTATAGAAAATGTTAGTTTTCTTATAGAGAATATAATTAATCTTCCAAGTTTTCAAGTTCCATTTTGTTGTTTTGTCAAAGGTTGTAACTGTTCCATCTCTGCTTTCAGAAATTTTTAGCTGGGATGAATATCTAAAAGAAACTGGAGCTGTGCCTGCTCCTCCTAGCTGTTTTAGACAGGTATGTTTCCAACGCCTATCACCTGAGTGTCTCATATGAACAGAGTTTATAGTTTTAGATTAATTATTATTTTTCTGGTTTTATGAAAAATAAATAACAAAGTGACACATGCTTCTCTACTTTAATCATCACATTTTATCCCACATTTTATGTCCAGCATAATATTTTTGAAATAATTATGTTAGCTGTGACTAAAGTTATAACTATTTGCTCAGCAGATTCATTCATTTTGCATTGATTAAATGGACAAGCATGCCTGTAAAGATTATCGTGACAGCTGTCTGAAATGCACCATCTTATGTTGTGATGTTGATATCGTTCTCCAGGTCTACGATGCGGATACAGACAGACACTGACAAGACAATGCTCTTTTTGTCTTAGCTGACTGTATTCATTTTTGCTGTTGATAAAGTAGCAGGGATTGCATGTTAAAAAGCAATCAAGTTTAATCTGAACGTCGTGTAGAGGTTCTCCATTGAATATACTTCATCAAACTCAATTGGGTGTATGCTAAAACTGAAATCATTTTAATTTTTTTTAAAAAAGCTTTTAGTATTTCCTTGCGTTGAAACGTTGCAAATACAATTTATAAATATCTAAGCCGCAGAGATATTCCTTAGGCTCCCCCAGCCTAGGTAGTTGTTTCGCCAAAATGGACGTTCTCGCATGTTGCCCCTAGTGCTGTTTTTGCCCCTCTTCCTCCACGAACTGAAACGTCCCTTCAGGCGTGCTTGGTTTTGCCCTCGTTCGTTTTGGCCGACGTCACCGAGGGGACGAGTCCCCTTCGCGCGTTGAAACACCGGTTATCTTTCTAGTCTAGGATCCCCCCTAGCAATGATTTCAAGATGGGCATGAAGCTGGAGGCCCACGACCCCCGCAACTTCACCTCGGTGTGCATCGCCACGGTGATGGGCATCACCGGCACGCGGCTGCGGCTGCGGCTGGACGGCAGCGACAACACCAACGACTTCTGGCGCCTGGTGGACTCCTCCGACATTCAGCCGATTGGGACCTGCGAGAAGAATGGGGACATGCTGCAGCCCCCTCTGGGTGAGGCTTCGTGGTGGGGTTCGGGAGGGCAGAGGGGGACTGAACACAGTGCCTCCCCAGTAAGAGTGAACTTTTGTAACATATGTAAACCTGAAGGCTTTTTCTCTCATGAAATTTGAATTTTTGAAACGTTTTAGCTGTTATGTTGTTGCGGTGGCGGGAAGACTGTGTGATTATACCATCACTTACCAGCAAGACAAATCTCAGTTGGACTTTGGGAGTTTGGCCTGCTTTGGAAATAAGAGTGTCACCTCTGCCTTTTCTGGGTGTTTTTCCACTTTGATCTCGTCTCGTATTATTTAATTCACTGAATTCTTGGTGAGTTTCTGCATAAGGAGAAACCGTGTATTTTAATCATTTTCTCTTTGTACATTATGGCAGACATGGGTACTTTTCATCCCAGGGAGAAAAAAATACTAAGTTCCACCACCAGGTGGCGATGTAAAGACAGTGTGTACCAAGAGTAATGGCCTTATTAATTCGCACAATTACAGCAGGTAGTGAAATAGATTGTCGTTACTAGATTTTTTTTTACATAGAAAAAAATACAAAGAAAACTTATTATTAATGACTAATTTTGGTTTTTTAGGATGACTTGTAGAAGGTACATTTGTTTTTAATGGGTGGCTGTGGTACAAATACTGTATTCAGTGTCTAATAAATACTTAGCATCTTTAAAATCGGATCATTCATATATGTTTTTGTCTCTTTTTAGGATTCAGAATGAATGCTTCCTCATGGCCAATGTTTCTTCTAAGGACATTAAGCGGAGCAGAAATGGCACCAGCAACCGCTTTCAAAAAGGTCTGCTTCCATAAATCAAATGCATTTTCGAAGAGGAAAACGAAATGATTTTTTGCACTGTATTCTCCATAAAATGTGCAGGTAACAATTCTGAGAGTAGATTAAGAAGAATAGGTCTGCTGATCCAAATTAACCCTGTTTGTTTTACAGCATTCAAAAGTCACACTGTATGAAACAAATGTTTAATCTGGATTTTATGTATATAAAGTCAGCAGCCAGGGATAGCAGTTTTGTCCTTATTAGCACACACCAGTGTAGTATAGCTGACTTTGACTAGTGAGGACAGGTGTAAATATGAATCTCCTTTTAGGTTTATTTGGTGTTTTAAGAGCTAAGTGTTGCTGTGAATCATTGGAACCCTGATAATTAAGACCTTTAAGCCTTCTTGCATCCGAGCATTTTATAATTGCCAGAGCCAGTTAATATTCACGTTCCCATGTCCTGTAGTGACTGCTTCCTCTTAGTACACGCAGTAATCCTGAAAGAAGTTCCCTGTAAAATATAGGATGGGTGGTAATTTGCTAGATTAAGAGAAAAGATTGAGTCAATAGTAGGCTGTCTTTATTTTCCTGCCCAGTTTTCTCCAGAATATGGCAGACTATAAGACAATAAGACTGCTTCTAAGCCTCCCCTTCTGCTATGACACACATGTGACTTTTTTTCCTGCTCAGTTGGTGCCTGCAATAACTACAGATCAATGAAGAAACTGCATTGGTTTGTTGAAGGTGCCGCATTTATGTGATAAAATTGCTCAAACACAAAGTGTTTTTGGTTGGGCCAGGGTTGAAATGAGTTTTACAACCAGGAAACAGAGAGAGAGATTGTCTTTACCAGCTCCAGCTAAGTAACCTCAGAACCCCTAAGTGCTGGTTGAGTTCTGGTTGAGACATCGTTAATAGTGGTGAAAAAATGGCACAAGCTGTCACAAAAGATCCTACAGAGATGGTAGTTGATCTTGTGGTAGCAGTGTGAATTTTGCAGTATTTATTTAGACCATGATAAAGTAAAATGCCATTAACAGGAGGTTTTAGGTGTGAGGTTATTATTATTGGTTCCATTTGTGAAAAACCTCTGACAAACCAGACCTGTAGCTGCTGCTCTCTCACGGACAAGCAAGCTTGCACTCCAAAACCCTGCTGCACTATTTGTTTCTGTTTTAAAGGTCAATATTATATTTCTGCTGTTTTCCTTTGGTGTTTTGCTATTTTAATGGAGGCATTTACCCTCCCAGATACTCTTCCACCTATCCTGTAAGGAGATGTGCCCACATTTTGAAAACCTCTGGCACGCAGGATATCAATTTTAATTTAAAGAGGTGAAAAATCAGTAGAAGGCTAGTTTTGTTGCTCTGTATAGGTTTTGCCTATTAAATATACACCTCAAAACCCCTTTTATTGATCACAATGCTTGTTCCTTGGCCTGGAGCAAATGCCAGGGTTTGATAGACTGAGTTGTGAGTTACCCTTTCTGAATCGTCATGATGTTAGGGGAGTAGATGCTAAAATACTGAGATTCAGACTGTCTGTACTTAGGAGCCACTGAAGCCTCCACAGAACGGTTTCAAACCTGGGATGAAGCTGGAAGCCGTTGACAGGAAGAACCCTTACTTAATCTGTCCAGCGACCATCGGTGAAGTCAAGGGTGATGAGATCTTCGTGATGTTTGACGGCTGGAGGGGTGCCTTCGACTACTGGTGCAAATACGACTCTCGAGATATCTTCCCTGTGGGGTGGTGCTCCTCTACCAAGCACAGCCTACAGCCACCTGGGAACAGCGGTAAGATGTGTCCAGCAGGGAGCGGCAGCCCGCCTCTTACCCCCACCCCTCCCCAGCTTGAACAATGGAAAAAACTCATTACAGCAGGAGGCACCTAATTTTCTTAATGGAGGGTTATGGCCAGCTCTCCTGTCTAAAAGCAGTACTCGGAAATAAGCAAGTTTTCCTGAACAGAAAAACTTATCTTGCCAAACCGTTTCTTTCTACTAAATGTAGACTCGCATTTAAATCTTACCACAAAGAGATGTGCTGAAGTACATGCCTAGCCTGACTGAGCTGGTAAATATTATTTCGTTTCAGTTTTGCTGTAGATTCCAAATATTTAATGGAAGTGAACAGTTGCAATCACTGTGTTGTCTGAATTGTCAAATAAGTTGTGCATGGTGATGAGCCTGCAGTTTTCTCAATCTGTAGAAGATCGGTGTGGTTAAAAGAGCATATTCTGTGTTGACTGTTGAACCGCACTTTGAAGAAAAAGCAGCCAGTACGTTGAACCACTTGACATCTCCTCTGACCACAAAAGCAGTCACTCTTTACTTTCAGGCCACTGTGATCTCTATAATCTGATGAATTGACAGTTTGCAGATTTTGTTTTATAGAACAAATGCCATGTCAGAATTGTACATGAGAACCGTACTGTTTGACCATCAACCAAAACTGTCAGATCCACAATATAATTTCACTTTTTATTCATGATTGGTTTCCCCAGAGGAAAACTTTATATTGTATGGAGCCACATTGTCCATGTTTTATCACATGTACATTCAGTATGTGTAAGTGTTCATGCATGCTTAACACGTTTTTACTGTAACACCTTGGGCAAAAGTCACTGAGAATGTTCCCATTTGAACGACAGTTTTGAGCAAAGTTTGAGCCTTTACCCAAGCCTTATTGCTTATTAATTTTATTCACATAAGTGTTATTGACAAAATAAATAATTTGCCTATTTTCTTAAAGAAATAGCTGCTCCCTACTTTTTGCCTTTTGTTCTCTAAAATTTCTTATATTAATGGAATGTATGTTGACTTTTTTTTTTAGATGAGTAAAACTGATCTTAATTCTAGAAAACAAATTTAGTAATGTTGCTGAATGTTTCTGATTTACTTTTGCCCTTTATTTGCCCTTATTATTGTTGACTGTAAAAGATTTGTGCAGTGTTTCACTACATTGCACACAAAAAAAACCTAGTTTAGAAAAAATGTTTAGCTTCACCCAGCCAAATGTGACCTTTGGGCAAGTTTTGCAGAATGCCCTCATCAAAGAGAATCTTACTTTGGCTCCAGCAAATAGTTTTTAATCCGGTATCTTAGTAACTAATGCCTTTTTTATTTTGCTGCTGCACATGTCATCTTAGCCCTTGAAGGTTTGCGTTTCAGTTGGATCAGTTTTTCACCGAATGCTCTCATTAGCTGTGACACCCACAGCTTCACTTTGGCACCTTGTGGAACTGTAATTTGAGACATTTTTAACTTTATATTCTTAAAGAGTATTTTAGAAAGCTCTGAGTAAAGATTTACTGTATGGAAGCTGCTGATGTACATACCTGCCATAGCAACCCCTGTGAATAGGAGAAAATACAGAAACCTTGCACTGTACAGAGACATGAAAGAAGATAGAATGTACCAGATGCCTTCTTGACTAACTACAAGAACATGGTCCATCGCAGTGTTTTCTAGATGCCGCCTAAGTTGGTTTTCTGCAGTTCAAAAATATTTTACAGTGCACCCTTAATTTAACGGACTCTGACGCTTAAATTGACCTCAGATTTAACAGACAGAATCTGCTAAAGGGGAACTTGTTCTATAAATTCGGAAGTAACAGATTTGACCTGCAAGAACGGTTGACGAATTGCCTATGATGGGTGTTGTTTGCGTTTCATGTTCTTTGACAGTTAAAAAAAAAAGTTTAATTAATGCGCAAGAATGATAACAGTATGTAAAAAAGCTTTGTGAAATGCACAAATAATTAAACAAGTTAAAAATTAATACCACCTAAGTTTAAAATTCAGAAATATTAAAGGTGCCCTGTAGAGATGGATCATTTGCTTACAATAGATGATGTTTGCATTTTGTATGCTTCAGCAAATTTGCAGTATATTTACAACACGTGAAATAAAGAGCTTGTTTATTTACATGGCACAGGAACAATTTTCTTTGACTGTTGATTGCAGTCGTTACAAAAAGTCAGAAGATCCAGCTACTTTATGTATGTATACTGAATTGGGAACTTTAGTACTGTGCATGTCAGGTGAAATGTTGTTTAAGTGCAGTGCATAATGCATTGGAAAAAATAAATTCAATGTATCATGCACTGCAGTGTATTATTATTTTTATTATATAAAAATACATGAAAATGCTGTGATCCTGCTGCTAGGGGCTGTCATTGAAGATGTCCTCAGGCTTTTCAAGGCCCTGCTTGTAATGGACTTAAATCTCTCTTTGTAGAGAATTGACTTCAGCATTGCTCACTGCTTTTATTTCTTTGCACTACCTGCAGTGTCCTGCAAAAGTATTCACATTCTTTAAAAGTTATCCATTGTTGCTGGATTACAAATGATACACATCTATTTCCAATATTTTCTTATTGCAATCCCACATGCTGTAACAGTAAAAAAAAAAAGAAGAAAACTGTCAGCAGATATCTAAAATAAAGTCAAAAACTGAAACATACTGCTTGCATAACTATATTCCATATATATACCCCCTATCGTGTTACAATTTTTCCTTGTTTTTCTGCCAGCATATTCGCAGTAACAGTGAAGTGTGACAAAAAGCTATCTGCTAGTATGCCTGTTTCACTGAAAATATTTTTGTTTTTGTCATGTCATTAGTGAGTATTTATCTGAAAATAAGATTAATAGTGATGGTAATTTCAAAACTATTTGGAATAGCACAAATTGCCCCTTGTTTTATCTTGTGACAGGTAACTAATTTTTCTTCTCATTTCTGCGATTTTGATTTCGGATATCTGAAGTTTTGATTAATTGTGAGGATAAGCAAGTTATTGCTAACATTTGTTTTTGGGGTGCTTGAATTTTTGACACCTCAAGCTAAAATGTGGTCACACAGTGTAGTGAATGGGATTTGAAGAAGTTATTTGGATATCCTTATAAAGCTTATAGAAAATTAAGCCAAATTACAATGAATGTTTTGAGAAGGTAAAATGACACAATACTGTTAAAATGAAGAGCTATGATTCAAAAGGTGACTGTTCTACGGCAAATGTTACAGCATTTTTATCAATGGAGGTTATGGTTTTCAGATTGGAGCCTTGGATGTAGACACATCAGGTCTTACACAATAGGTTAAGCTTCAGCTCCATGAGGTCAGCTTTCCTGTGCTTCCATTCAAAGAAACTGCTTATGTTGTTGGTGTTTGAAATGAGAGAATAAGAAACTGGTTTGGGGCTCCCTGGAATGGAAACCAGTGAACCCAGACGAAGAGTTCACAGGGGTAAACACACTTTTAGACTTTATTTTCAGCTTTGAATTACTACACACAGTGTGAAAAGTATGAATTACTGATTTATGCAGTAAACTCCAATATATTTATAAAGAGGGGGAGAAAAGGGAAGGCAGAGAAAGATTGTTATACGATAGATACTTTATTAATCCATGAGTGAAACTGCAGTGCAACTGCAGCGTGGCACAGTCAACACAGCACAGTGTAACGAAATGATACAATAATACACAATACAATACAGTAAGTACAGTCAATGAGAAGTGCAGTAAAAAAATATGACTGTTGACATATTTATTATTTTTCTGTTCGTACAGGGTAATCTTTATAAAACAAATTTCTTTGACACGGTTGTCTTCTGTCTCCCAGAAAAAAGGGAACCATGTTTTTGTGCAATCAAGATAGTCTATTCTGGGGACTTAATTATTCCAGTTTCTAACAAGATGTGCGTTTATACACCGTGATTGTCTTGTGTAAAAAAATGGCATGTACAAAAATTAAGCATTATGCAGTAGTGCATTCCCTGGTTTTAACTTTTGGGATTTTTTTTCCTCTTTCTGATTTTTCTGGATGCCGAGCATTTAGCAGCTGAAAGACTTTTGGACACATGGTTTCTTTAGCAAACAGTTCAATTTACACAGTCCGTCTATGTACAGTTCATTTTATGCACATATCAACTATTCATTTTGTAATATTTTTCATAACTGGAGGAGGTTTTGAGCCTGCAGACCTTAAAACTCCAGCCCACTCACATAAGTAAACCCAGTAACCACCATCCCTCAGAGCCCTTCAGGGCTGAATTGCCGGTAGTTTCCCTTTCTTATCAGGACACATGATTTTCTGTGTTGAGCCTCCAGTTTAATCTAGCCTGAGGTATTTTTTGGAGTGTTATATGAATCAATTACTATACCTTATGGAAGAGAAATTGGTAGATTTCACTTCTGTTTGTGTATTATCTCTGTAATTTTGTAGTCTAGATATGCACATTAATTTACCCTATCCTTGCCTATACCATCTGCACATGGACCAAGACAAAGACCCCATATACTCATGCATTTATTTTTGTATTCTTCAGTTTGTATACTTAAAATCTTTATTGAGAAACATTTCTGTAATGTTTTGCGATGACGTTCAAAAGGAAAAGTCTGAGGTCCTGAGATTTTAAAAATAACTATTAAGGGTCTGAAGAATAAAAAGGGTTTTTAACACAAACTACATTGAGCTCCAATTATATAATCAATATTTTATGTTGATTTTACAATTTAGGTTTTTCATTAAGTTCTTTATTTGCTGGCTCTGCCAGCTTCCTTCTTCTTGTGGTAGAGGGGATAAACAGGTAGTATATACTCATGGCTTCATCTTGTCTTTATTATTATGCCTCTAGAACACACTTCTGGTGGAAGTAAGATAGTTAATAATGAGTTAAGCTGTGATTTCAGCTTGATCATCACGTGTAGTCTGTCTTTCAGGACCATCAAACCAGTGTAATTCTCTGGTGTCCATTTACAACATATAACGTTGTCTACATTTGGTTTACTTTCT